ATAAAAGACATCTCTAATCATCGAAGAAATTAATATAGATTTGTATACGTAATATGTATGATGCTTACGTTCCTATGTTTTATAGGTGAATCACTTTCGACAACATTTGATTCAGGATTCGAACTTGCAAATTCATGCAGATGTCAAAAGAAACATGTACAGATCAGCCGTAACACAACGAATAAAATACACAAGTATCTTGCAAGGAATGCTAATGTCTCAAAGCATTTAGAAGTCTTTAATGGAAAATTTGAATGTTCATACTTGTGTCAAACATTTTTTGACAATAGAGATGAAAGTATATCTATAATTTTGGAAAATTATAAAGTACTGCAGAATGTAGCAATATCATTTTTACTCCTGGACCTTAAATGCGACGCGACCGGGAACAGGGTAAAAAATTACATATGCATAAAAAAAAGGGGGGAGAAAAATTATCAAAAATTGGTTTAAAAAAAGTAGAAACCAATTTTGAAATGAAAGCAAAGAAATTCTATACAAAGGGAATCTCATTAAACCGGAAAAATTTTGGGTTCAGTTTTTGTCAGGGGAAAAAAAAATGTAATGTTCTGTCCCCTGGTCTAAGCAAAAGGTGTGCATATGGAATTTTTAGAAAAAGAGAGAAATGCATTTTTCCCCGGAAAACGACGAACTTTAAAAGATTAAAACAGAAAAAAAGTAATTCTATAAATTTATTAACTACTTTGACTAAAATCATTACAAGACCCCGAGAGTTTTTTAAACCCTTATTTTTTAAAAAGTAGGGGAAAAATTTTCGATATTTAAATTTTTAAAAAAAGGAAATTATAAAATTTATAGTCTCGATTAGGGCAAAATGTATTAAAATATTTTGAAGTTTGTTTTAAAATTTTTCCCGATTATTCTGTTACTGTATGTGCATATTATTCATATAAAAATTATATACCTGTAGATAACCAACAACCCAGAACAACAGAAAAAAACACATGTAAATGTACGGGGAAATGTAAGACAAAAAGGGATAATTATAAACAACCACACATGATGAGTGCAAGTAAAAGTAATATTACAACCAAAAACACATGTAGAAACCTCTGCAATGCATTTCTTTGTGATGAAGGGAATTTGACAACATTTTACAATTTTAAAGCATTTCAAAGGTTCAGTGTTTTAGGTCTTCGTAATTTAACAGATGTGAACAAATATCTTAGAACAAATAAAGATATTGATTTGACACACTCAGAAAAGCATAAAAATAATAATATGAAATCACAAAGTCAAAGAAAAATAATGATCTTCGAAAATAGACAGTGTGCATGCACCAGTAGGAAACAAATAAACCCAATGATATCGAATACGAAATTGATAAGATTCCACTGGAAATCAGTAGAAGTGAACTGTGAATTACTTTGCGAAATAAATGTGAAAAACAAAGAATCCAAGAATCGCACAAATGCATATTTCATGTTAAAACCTGTTAATGACATCAGATTAAAATTGGACTTAAACAATACAATACAAAACAAATCAGAAGATACAACACTTAAGCCGAATCACTTTCCTATTATTACCTTAGCTGTGACGGCGGCGGCTTTCTTCATATCCACTTTCATTATCTTCTGCTGTTATATCAGAAGGTTAGTTAAGATTTTTCAGAGCTTTTTTTGCCTTAAAATTTTGTAATGTCTAAAAATCAAACTAATTCAATAAGGGGGCCTTGTAGGCCCAGAGTTTTTTTTACTAGCTACATCTTAATGTGCCACAAAGTTATGAAGTTAATTTAAATTCCGTCCATAAATGAAAAGCAAATTGAGATTAAATATGACTGTTAATCTATATAAAATACACCAAAAACAAACACGTAAAGAAATTGACCCCCAGAGTATAAACTTGTTTCCCGATATTTGTCTTGTCATCTCGTTTTGTAGTACCCCATTATGTCGAGTTATTTAAAACAGAATTTGTCATGTTATGCAAAAAATGTTTCGATCAAAATTTATTTAAATAGTTTTAAAAACTGAAAAATATTCTTCACATAAATATGACATTGCCTTTCGAAATAAAAAAAATCTGACTCTTACGCTGACAAGATCTTTTAAATGACAAATTATGTTATATCTAATTGAAACAAATCAGATAACTAAATAACGACATGTCTTTTGACGGTCTTTTGATTTTTACTAAACACAAATAATGATCACATTTTAAAACATATAAATTAATAACTGATTTCATAATTTTGTATTCATGATACAGAACTAGAAGGTTTCGAAGATACAGAACTAGAAAGTTTCGAGAAAGCAGAAAAAATTATTACATAACCCCTATTTATTGCAAAAGTAGAGATTACAAACCCGCTGTTGAAGAAGTAGACGTGTATCAAACCCTTGATTTGTACTCCAATCATGCTAAGCAATTACCTGACGATATCGAATTTGACAAAAATACAGATGTTTCTATTTCGGGAACTTTGATTAAAGAAAAACACACCAACAAGACACTTAACACACAAATAGATGCTAATGCGATTCCACATGAAAACAAAACAGGATACATTATACCAGATCTAATGAAAAGCAGAGCAGTTCAACAAAATTCGTCCAAAGTGATCCCGAGCCCGCATGGATCAAATTGTAATCCCATAAGATTTGGTCTAAATACTCCTATCAATAAAACTTACTTTTCTTGTCAAAGTTCAGAAGGGGATATGCAAAAATGTAAGTTTGATGTCAAAGTTTTAGAACACTGTATTTCCGAAATACCTGAGTCAATCGTCGCTGTGAAACCATTAAAAGGAGCGAATGATCACCCTATAGCAAACTGTAAGACTGAGCAGGAAAACAAGACGGAATTGGAAAAATGTTACGATGGTAACGCACACTTTATCAGATCTTTTTCAAAATTCCCCGATCGATCCTGAAATGTTTTACATTGCAAAGAGTGATGAAGTACTGTTTATGCTTTGGTCAATTATGATATGACACAATGATCATTTTATACAGCGTTACATATTCCTAATTTCATTTATTTCCTATCTGTGAAAAGATTTACATGGTAAAGGTCCGTGATAGTCTATATTGTTAGGTGTGACAATATATTTCTAAAAATCAAAATTTTATAAACAATGCTGTTTTAACATTTAGCTCGTTCAATAAATATCAACTAAAGTTCGTTTGTTTTTTCAGAACAAGATCATACATCATCAAACTGGAACCAGATATTCAGATTTTTGACTATGAAGATTCCACCTAGTCAATGGAAACTTTATTTTAATTGTTTATTTGGTAAATATGTTACCTTTAATTTTAGTAAAAAATATGAAAAACCAGATCAACCAAGCAGGGCAAAAGTTTACTTTGCATACAAATATATGCAGTACTTCATTTAAAAGAATAATTACACTCATATAAAATTAAGCTCTTCATTTCAATGACATTATACTCATGCAAGTGCTAATGGTCGTTGAACAGGTTAAAATATTTTATAAAAATTGGGTTCAGTATTACATTTTGCTATGGAAATATCATTCAGAATGTATCGGTTACGTTCAATTCTGAAATGAGTTGTTTTTTATTGTCACACACGTTATAACTAATAATTGCTTCATCATCATTTAGCCAACATCTTTAAATATATATTTTAATTCAACTCAACCTGGCCCGTGTCCACTAAGAAAAGATCAGAATGTGGGCTGCGTTTCATGGAGAGTCCTAAGTCTTAAGTTTGTCTTAAGATAAAAATTGTGACAATTTGCGTTTCAAAGAACGTCTTAAAAAATGTCATAACTTAAGACTCCTATACTTATAACCAAAAACAGTCCTAAGTCTAGGATTGTTTTAAAGGTATCTTAAGATTGTCCTAAGTCAAAACCACTCCAAAATCAAACAACTTTTTGTTGAACTTTGTTTTGAAAACTATCTAGAATGATAGATAATGGTCTACCTAAGAAAATAAATCCGAACACCAATATCTTTAATTCAATCATTAACGCTGTACAGACGTTTAAAGAGTTGTTTACATGACGTCACAATGTAGCGCCAAATATCGCGTGCAAAACAAGACGCGTCTATAAATAATAATATTACTGCGCGCTGTACAATTGCAGTTTCGTAGCAAACAAGGGGGTTCATAACCATTTTTTTACTGTGAAATTAAATAAGACGGTTATTTTATCGTTTTTTCGTGAAATACGGTTTATATATTGTTCCTTTTCGACTCTGAGAACGAAGCGCGAAGCATGAGTCGTGATGACGGTACGACGTAGATAGTACGACAGTACGATTGCAAAGCGCGACAGTACGATGGTGAGAGTACGATGGTGATACACCATCATACTGTCACCATCGTACTGTCGCACTGTTACCATCGTACTCTACCACGTCCCCGGAGCGAAACAACATCGTCCCAGCAAAAATTTGTATTTGACTGTAAATGAAAGGCAAATCAAACCGAGATTTCAACTTTTAAATTTAAACGTCTTTTTTGTGTGTTCTTTGTCGATTCTGTATTTCTTTCTATTATATGTGGACAAACAGCAGAATGAAAACTGTTTTCAATAATTTATTAAACCTTTGTATTATCTTTAAAAATTATAGCAGAAAATTTTTGAGCAAAAACAAAATTCGGAGGTCAGTGACCTCATTTTCAAGTAATAAGACCTTTTGAGTACAATATTGATTTTACTGGACTCAGCAGTGAACTCGTTTATTGTAATTATATAGTATAATATTAAACAATGTACATGTATAATAATCTCATAATATACAACTCCAGCATAGCTATGAAACGATTTGTTTTTTATTGATACTTGTAATAAAAACTGGAATATTCATTTAACTGAAGAGAGAAATAAGAAAACTTATATCTTACATTTTTCAGATTATGCAAAACATTTGATTCCTTGTAACATGTCAGGTGAAAATATAATAAACCAAATCGAATCAGATGTGTTTTCATCGAGAAGAGAGAGCGTCCAAATATTAATTTTTGACCTTTTGAAGGCATGGAAAGAACTTATGGGGATGGAAGTAAACACAAAGTACATTCATGATGCATTCGTTGAGATAGGATATAATTCAACTGCAGCTGATTTCAATGATTTTCTTGGGTATGTTATCTATAACATGAGTTACTAACTTTTCATTAAATATGTTATCAAAATCACTCAAATTTCGATATTTTGTAAATAACTTTTTCAATCATAACAACATTCATTTAAAGCAATGTTTTATATAAAGAGCAAAGTATAGGTGTCTTTGTCATACGTATTTGAAATTCATGTTCAACAAATGTATAAGAAATCTTTATTATTTATCTATACCTGCTTTAAAACAGATAATACATGTATAACTTACTTTATCATGGATATTAAAATATACTCAGATGTTTATTTACCTAATACGTCTCTATCAATTGGTACCTTGTATTGAACTTATTAGCTCAGAAAATAATGCTTTCATCTTCATTACCCGAACTTTTAATGAAATAAAAATCTCATTTTACCATAACATATAAATAAAATATGATCAATATATATGACGTTTGTTAAACTTAATATATAAAATGCATGTAAAAATGGTAAGTGTGTGTTAAACATCAACCTATAGATAAAAAATACCATGAATATCCTTTTGTAGAATATCACCTAAATTTTATGCTTATAAAGGCATCATATTGTTCAGTGTAAGAATTTAAATAGGTACAAAAATCGGACAAAAATACTCAATATATAAATGTTTTAATTTGGCATTAGAAAATGAATATGTTTCTTATAAAAGTTTATTATGTAAAACTTACTAATCATCTCTTTTTAAACGTTTTCATTATTCACACAGGACTTTACCGAAATGTACTGCGTATGTAAAAGGAGGTTTTGGTATCGTTAAATCAATTTCTCAAGGAAGCGCAATAGTTGAACGTGAACAGAGGAATATAGAGGTTTTTGCTTTGCAAAACAAAACTGAAACTTTTGAAATTGCTGCTAATAAGAGCTTACATATCAGAAGGAGAGAGTCAAATGAGGTAGCATATCATCTACAAAAAAATAACACACCTCGCTTTCGTTCAAATTTTCCCGCTATTCCTGGTTCATCTGCATCAAGTAGGTCTTCACAAAACGCATCGCTTAAAAGGAAAAGATATGGGCCGTCTATGTCCTCAGATTCTGACACTGATTTCTTTCCTCATAAAAGAACGAGAAATGAGCGGTCTACGAGATATCAGTTGTCTACAACCTCAGATTCTGACATTAATTCCTTTCCTTCAATCAAACGGCAAAAGTCAAAAATGCGGATGAGAAAACTTCAGGCATCAAAAAAGAAGGATCACCGAAGTCGCATTAGGTGGGACAAAATTGACAAAGAAACCCTTATAATTGATATGACTAAACGTTTGCTAGAACTTGATCAAGACCTTGATAATTTACAGTATGACATTTTCGTTAAGCATACACTTACATTAATTATAAATAAATCGAAGGTGTCAGAAACTGTCATATTATCCATCAAAGTATCTGACTACGAGAACATTCAAGAAATAAAGGGAAGATATAAGCACGTGACTTACATACTTGACACTGAAGATACAAGACTACATCTAGGCATCGCAGAATGGGGGTGTCTAAAACTATATGCCGAAAAGGCAAGAGAACAGGTTGTGCATCGGTTGAAATTAGAAAACGATAAATTTCTCCAAAGCACCAAGTTGTTCATCGAGTATAATGGAAAATCTTTCGGTAACGAGGTAAACATGTATAAGATTAGAAAGTTTTCAATTAATAACCCTTCACTCCTTACACATATTCTGAATTAACCAAGCGTACAAAACAATGAAATGTGTCACATAAATATTAATGGTATTCTCTGCTTATAATTTGACTGTATGCATAATTTAGTTGTTCAAAACAGTTTGCTTAAGCCTTTACAATGACCTCGAATTTTTCTTCCACTGAACGGGCCACTAAATAGTTATATCTGTATTTATTTAGTATACAATTTAAAGTTATTTTGTACATGTTGTTTTTTCAGGAAAAAGACGAAACTCTACAAGCATCCTTTGATAAACAAGTTAAGAATACCGAATCAAGAGGACAAACTGTAGGTGATGACTGCCCGAGGATGTCAAGCACCCACAAGGAAAATGTTGTGAACAATATCGAGTCTAGAGGAGAAGCAGCACGGTATGACTGCGCACCACTGTCAGAAACCCAGGAGGAAGATGTTGAAAACAATATTGGGTCTCCAGGACAGGTTACATGTGCTGACTGCACGACACTGTCAAGCACCCATATGGAAAGTGTTGTACAAAATACAGATTCTAGAGACAAACAAATAGGGGATTACTGCGCGACGCTGACAAGTACCCACACGGAAAATTTCGTGAACAGTGCCGATTCTAGCGGACTGACTACAGTGGATAACTGAGCGACCCTATTAAGCACCCACAAGGATAAAGTTTTGATCGACACATGTACTGAGTCTAGCGGACTAAAAACAGGGGATTACCTCGCGACACTATCAAGCACCCACAAGGAAAGTGTTTGGAAGAATATCGAGTATAGAAAACAAAAGACAGGGAGCGATTATGCAAAAGGGCAAACACACGCACGGAAAGTGTTTTGAACAATAATATGTCCAGAGGACAAATTACAGGGAATGACTTCTCGAAACCGACTGACCCCCAAGAGGAAAATGTTGGTTTAAAGGACAAACTATAGAGGCGACTCTGCAAAACTGGTATACATTCGACAAATAAACTTCGTAAATAATACAGAGTCTCGAGGAGATATTATAGGAAACAATCGTTCAAAACTGACAAACACACGCAAGGAAAATGTTGTGAACAATACCGAGTAAAGAGAACAAACCATAGGGAACCAAATGAACAAATTTGGCAAACACCTACAAATAAATAATGTTCAAGTCTTAGAAACGTTACATGTACACACTGGTTGCCTAACTGTAAATCAAAATAATCGGAGTATTATCGAACGTCAATTTGGAGAAAATGAAAAGTGCCACAACTAAAGGATTCATCTTAGGTTAGCGTTTCTCAACCAATATTTTTATACAATACATAAAAGTTTATTTAAGCTGATGTATTTGATAATATTGTTATGCATGTATATACATTGTATATTTGAAATTAATTATTTTGATTTTCTCTTTCTCATATAAACTGATGTCGCGCACACACACACACGCGCGTGCGTGCGTGCGTGTGTGTGTGTGTGTGTGTGCGTGTGTGTGTGCGTGTGTGTGCGCGCGTGCACACGTGCATGTGTGTATGTTCAACTATAGTTAAAAGTGATTAAATGATAACATATATGTATTGATTGTTCATATTACGACAGGGTTTTAAACGGGGGCCCGGACTGACAATTTTAGTTACTTTTAAGCATAAATTATATATTCTTTTGCTTTTTCTTCAATTATAATTAATTCCTTATAAGTTATGTGTTCCTGTCATTTATGTACTTGAAGAAAGTCTGTAAGCAATTTCGTGTCCGGTCTTTATCTTTTGAGCCGGCGGAAGGAAATTGAAACTACTTGGCAGACAATGTGCAGAGCGCAGATTTGACCTTCCTCGTCCATGGTCAAGGTCACACTTAGTCATTTTGTACGAAATTAAAAAAATCATGTCCGTTCTGTATCATTTGAACCGACTGGAGAGAAATTGAAACTTTTTGCAGAAATAGTACTCATAATGAGGCATTGTGCAGAACACATGTTAAGCTTCCTGAGATCAATATTGGCCCCGCCCAGAAGATTACTTGATTTATAAAGACTATTATAGAACGAGAAATGTGTCAACAGAACACGGATGCCCCAACAGTTTGCTGTGTTGTCAGTCCACTAACGAAAAACAGGTCAGTTAACAGACGGGCAAAAGAAATTCTACATCACATCCTCTTCCCCTTAGTGTTTGGAGTCCAATTTTCCCCAATTTTAACATCATCATTTTTCCCAATATTTAGCTTCAGGAATTTCAAATCTCAATTTTATAATCTAAAGTATGCTTAATAGAAAAAACCAAGCAAATCCCCAGATGTACAGCTACCCATTTTTAAAGTTTCATGACTTTACAAAATACTTTTGGGGCTATGGTCGACACATGTTGAAAATTGCAAAGTTCAGGACAATAACTCGTCAAATAATAAATAAAATTCACAAGCACCCCCCCCCTCCCCGATACACAACTACACATGCTGACCGAAATTTCTGTAAAGTTTCATGACTTAATGTCAAACATTTTTGAGCTACGCGTAATGTAAATGTTTCTTAGTCAATGCCAATAACTCTAACAAAACTGAATAAATCCGAACGCGAAACCTAAGGACCTAAGGTGAACAACTCCATGTGATGATCAACATTCCTGTAAAGTGTGTTGAATCCAGCTCAAGCACTTTTAGAGTTACACGTGACACAACATTTTGTAACGGACGCACGCACGGAGAATGGCAAATATTATTCCCCTTTGTAGGGGCATTATTGCTCCGCGCCCACAAGCTATTTGTATTTACTATTTTTCTGTCCATGGGCCCGGATTTGATCAATTAAGCTCTTCGATTTACAGCTAAAAATAAATCCGCATCTATTTCTATATTGGTTTCCCCTTCGGTGATTCGCAGCATGTCATATTAATGAATGAGAACCGGAAAGCAGTTCTGCTGCACATGAATTCGAAAGCTATAAATAGCTATAAATATTCTGATTTTTGACACTTAGGTTATAAATTTGTTATTTCCCTTTTAAGTATTACATGAAATTATAATTTGTTACATTTTAAATTACATTTACACACAACATATCAAGTATACTATTCGTGATTGAATTTGTCAATATAAATAAGATTTCAGGCATATACTTTAATAATTTTGCTTTTGATAATTATTCTTAATTAATATTTATGAAATTAAATGTTAAATAATAACATGTTGATATATTGGTTGTTTTGAAGTAATAAAAATTTAGTATATAAAATTACATTTCATTGGCGTTTTGTATACCACTTTGTGCTTCAAAGTTAACTCTTTAAGGGTATGACTGGTGACATATCCGGGGTCCGTACTCGACAGCGAAAGCTGCATTTTGTGGCCTTACGACTGGATGAACCCTCATTAAGCATAATACAGATAGATAGCATCATTGATCTGCAGTTTCAACATGAAGTGTAATGTTATTTTATGAATGGTTTTAAAGCAATTCAACAAAAGAGTATATTGATCTCCCAATAAATCAATTAACAATAGTTTTTTTTTAAATATCACCAATGTCAAATAGCTTGTATATCTTTGACTCGCACGAACATGATGCTAGTGAATTTCCTCATATATATACCTGCCTAAAATTCAGGTAACAGTCTTCTGTTATATTGATTAATACTGTATCATCATGTAACGCGTGTATAACAAACAAAAAAAATCTTGAATTTGGTCTTTTTGAAATTCATCCCATTTCTTTCATTCCAGAGTGTGTTCTACTTTCAGTATTGAAAGAAACCATTTTTTTTAATTTGACATGAAAAAAATGCATGTAATATTACTATATTATAATATTAGTCCCTTTTGTTACTATATTTGTATATTTGTTACAATTATAATGATAAAAAACAGACTTTGATCTTTTTATCATCTTATATTACTGACTACAGTAGTGACACAAACAGAACACAGTACAGTAATGTCACATAACATTTACAAGTCTTGTAAGTCTTGTTTGTACTCAATGGAATTAACTTCCTTAACAGGTAGGCATCAGTGAAAGCATTTTTATATTAAATCTCTTTCCCCTCTTTTTAATTATGGACAGTGCATAAGATAAGTATAATCATGCAAAAAAATGGTTAACAGAACATTCAGAAAAAAAATCTACAATAGTACTTAATCTGAATATAACATGACCTGTGCGTAGGAATAATTTGGTAAGGTATCTGTAATGAGCGCATTTTTTTGCGCGGATCTTCTCAATTACTGCATTGCAGCAACATTTGTACTTGTAACAATTTAAATTTTACACGAAATTACAAAGTCTAATGCGTAGATACGTGAATATAGCATGTAGCATTGCCTCATCTGATATGAGTCATGCCCCTTGGTTCAGTAATGGCCCCGTCCCAGGGGTCACTTGATTGACTTATATTAGAAAACACACCTGAGAACTACAATACCCAGAGCTATCTAAGCTATTTGGCATGTAACATCACTTTGTAAACCACAACATAACTGGTGTTTCTTATGACACTTTGGTCAATAATGGTCCCGCCCCGGGGGTCACTTAGTTAATATGGTTTTGTATACGAAAACACATTTAAGTCTCATGGTGTGAAACATCAATGCCTAGGGCTTAGATATCTGACACGTAGCAATGCCTCATTGGCCTCTACAAAACTGATTTAAATTATGCCAAACCCCGCGGAAGCATATTTTGAATAGACTTATTTAGAAAACTTATTATCGTGTGAAAACTATAATTCCAAGATCTAAGATATTTTTATGTAGCATTTCCTTATTAGCCTTCACAAAATTGATATTAATGTTTAATCCCTTTTGATTAATTTATGGCCCACCCCGGGAGTAACTTAATTTGTGTAGACTTATTCAGAAAAGAACGTCCACATTTTAAGCCTTATTGTGTTAGACTACAATGTAAAAATCTATTTACTATGTAATTTTACCTTCTGGACCTCTGCAAAACTGATTTTAATCATGCCGCTAGGGTCAATAAGGACCCACCTCGAGATCACTTAATTTAAATACACTTATACAAGTTTCAAGTTCTATTGACACAGTGAGCATACTTACATTGACTTGATTTCACTGTGCAGAAATATTATAGTTGAGTAGTTTACACCAAAACGCCTGCTCTAGAAAGAAAGAGAGTCAAAGGCTTGTTAAAAATCAATAAAATAGTTTAGTTTTATTATGTTTAACGTAATCTGTTAACATGTGGAGGATAAAAATATTATCAACAGTTGAACTAAATCCAGCTTGGTTTGAATTTCATAAATTATAACTTTCTAAATAGTTTGTTAATCTTTCATTAAGTATACATGTACTTGTAAATAATTTCCCTATACAACTAAGCAATGAAATAGGTCTATAGTTTTCAGGCATTTCATATTACCTTTATTTTGGGACAAATCATCCTGTCAACCAAGAATCTGGCAAAAACCAGTGTTCAGAATACAGTTAAACAATTTGTGATATAGTGGTATAAGTAAAGTACCGCTATCCTTAATATATTCACTAGAAACTTGATCCAGAGTAGCCGCCTTACCATTCTTAAGTTTGTCGATTGCTCTTTATACCTCAGAGATTGTTATGCTATCATAAAGCCCATTATCAAAATGAATATTTGGAAAATCTGTTTCTGGGTTGTCATTTGCATCTACAGTATCTTTATCAAGCTGTCTATAAAAATAATAAAATGCTGAAATATCAATTCAGTCTTTTTTCTTATTTATATATAATTCCAATATCATTTAGGCGAAGAGTTTTTCATGTTTCTTATTTTCATTTTATGCTCCGTTTTAAAATTACCAAAAACTTTTTCTCATAACATATTTTTAATTTTTACTAGAATTATTTTAATCAGAAATATTACGTTCATTTTTATCCATTGGCATTTTTGCTTACATCTATGATATAGACTTTTTTACAACGTGGTCCGTTGCTATGAAAAATCGACCGGAAGTTGTCTTTTCTCGCACATTCGTTATTTGCGTAGGGCAAAGGGAGCATCGCCCTACATAGAAATAGAATTTCATAGACAATTCCGAGTTACTTTAAGGTTAAAAGTATAAAACTATATGAAATAACTTTTAACATGAACATAAAACATGTCTTTATAGCTATGTGGCCATATTTGCCATACAAATGCATGGAAAAGACGATTGTTTAAGAAATCCCTCTAACGATTACGAACATGACATTTACATTTTACGTGATAAACTATGACATGGTACTAAAACGTCCCGGTTGACTGATTTTGTAAATAGCTGTAAATAAACAACCTTTCACGTGTCAATCTGTTTGACTCTTACCACCTTGCCGATGGAAGTGTACAATACAAACTGTGTAAAATTATGTAATACAGGGGTAATAAAATTTAACATTTAACACCCTGTTGTTTCAATTTAAATTTCTGATGAATAAGTCGTATATCTAAAAAAGATGACTTTTGTACAAAAGACTTTTTCATTGAATTATTAGTCCCTCTTACTTTCGT